GAGATCCCCACGTCACAGACAGCATCTTCCCGGAGGTCCCCACGTCACAGACAGCATCTTCCCCGAGATTCTGCTGTGGCTTTTGCCCCTGCTCAGTTTTCTTCACCCAATCTCCAGCTTAATGTGTGGGTTAGCCAGGGTTCTCTGGAGGGACAGAACTAACAGGATATACACACAGAGAAGAGTTTAACTATTAACTCACTCGATCACAGGGTCCCACGATATGCCGTCTGTCTGCAGGCTGAGGAGCAAGGAGAGCCAGTCCGAGCCCCAGACCTGAAGAACTTGGAGTCGGATGATGGAGGGCAGGAAGCATCCAGCGCGGGAGGAAGACGTAGGCTGGGGGCCGGGCCTGTCTCGCCTTCCCACATTTTTCTGCCTGCTTTATATTCTAGCCTCGCTGGCAGCTGATGAGACGCTGCCCACCCAGACTCAGGGTGGGTCTGCCTCCCCCACCACTGACTCAACTGTGAATCTATTTTGGCAGCACCCCCACAGACACACCCAGGATCAACACTCTGTATCCTTCAATCCAGTCAGGTTGACACTGTGTTGACAGCACAGTGTTGGTGTGTGTGGCTGGCGAGAGGCCCCGCAGCCGCCCTGCAGAGGAGCCGCCCTCCCTGTGTGCCTGGCATGGCCCGCCCCCTTCCTGTGCCGGGGTTGTGGCCCACACCCGACCTGTGCCCGCAGTGTGGCCCAGCAGTCCTGTGCCTGCGGTGTGGCCCAGCAGCCCTGGAAGGCCAAAGTGCTGTCAGCTGAGACGCGTCCCTGCATCTCCGGCGAGGGTGTCACCTGTGTCCCTCTGGTTTCAGCACGGAGCCCCAGCCCCGTCCTCAGCTGTGGCCAGAACACCGTGCCCCTCACAAAGGCCCCCTGGAGACCCTGTTTCCAGTCCAGCTTCTCGGAGGAATCTGAGCCCCCACTTCCCGTGCCTCCTGGGGCTCTGAAGCTGGCGGGCCTCTTGCATTTGCAGGTTCCACACTCTCAGCCTCTGAGAGTTGCCCGAAGCTCAACATAGAACGTTCCAGGGCAGGTGTGGCAGCTCACGCCTGTAATCCCATCACCTGGGGAGGCTGAGGCGGGAGGATCGGATGAGCCCAGGAGGCGGAGGCTGCAATGAGCTGTCATTGTGCCGCTCCAGCATGGGTAACAGAATGAGACCCTATCTCTAAAGTAAAATTTAAATAAAGAACATTCCAGCACCCAAAGTGTCTCCGGTGTCCATCTCTGTGGATCCCCATCCCACACTTCTCCAACTTCTGTGACCAGAGATTGGCCTGATAAAACAGGGACATTTTGCCACTTGTGGGTCTGGCTTCCTCCACGCAGGCTTCGTCCACGCTGCTCAGTGTGACGAGCTTCGGTCTCTCACGGCTTGGTTTGTGAACGGTGACTGCTGCACCCACTCTGCTGCTCTGGGGACCAGGGCTGCTCCGAGGTTTTGGAGATGAGTGAAGCTGCCATGACTGTGCCCCTCTGTGGACAGTGAGACCACTTCTCTTGGGCACATGCTAAGTGGACTCGGGCAACGTCAGTCATAGGGTTGGCATACTGTTTTGCTTTAGCAGAAACTGCTAAATGGTTTTCTGAAGTGTCTGCCCCAGTGCACATTCCACCAGCAGTGTGTGAGTGTTCTGGTTGCTCCATATCCTTGCCAACACTTGGTATGTTCGACTTTTAAATTTTAGCCTTTCTGATGGGTGGTAGTGGTATTTCTTTGTGGCTTAATTTGCATTTCCCTGATATTACTGCTGCTTAGAAACTTTTCCTACATTTATTGGCTATCTGGGATCCTCTTTTGTGAAGTGCTTATTCAAATCTTTTGCTCATTTAAAAAATTGGTTTATTTGTCTTTGATTGTTTGTTTTCTTTGTAGGCTTTTGTTTGAAATATTCTGGATACAGTCTTTAGTAAGACATGTACTGTAAATAATCTCTTGGTCTGGAAGTTGGCGTATCACTCTCTCAACAAGGTCCTTTGATGTCCAGAAGATATTAAGTCAAATTTGTCAGTCTCTTACGTTATCCTTTTTATTTTTTTGAGATGGAGTCTCACTCTGTTGCCCAGGCCGGAGTGCAGTGGTGTGATCTCAGTTCACTGCAACCTCCGCCTCCTGGATTCAAGTGATTCTCCTGCCTCAGCCTCCCGAGTAGTGGGGACTATAGGCACATGCCACCACACCCGGCTAATTTTTGTATTTTTAGTAGAGACACAGTTTCCCCGTGTTGGCCAGGCTGGTCTCGAACTCCTGACCTCAAGTGATCTACCTGCCTCAACCGCCTAAGTTGCTGGGATTACAGGCGTGAGCCACTGCACCCAGC